CTCTGGACGGAGTCTTTTGCACAGGCTCAGTATTCCTCTGCTTGGGCAAAGGATGGACCTGAGCCTTTGGTTCAGGAGCCTTCTGTCTAGCAGCAGAGGCCCCTGTGGATGTGGTGGCAGCTGGTGCTGTCACCGGTGAGGCCTGTGGAGCCTTGCCTGATGGTTCCAAAGACCCCACTCTGGACGGAGTCTTTTGCACAGGCTCAGTATTCCTCTGCTTGGGCAAAGGATGGACCTGAGCCTCTGGTTCAGGAGCCTTCTGTCTAGCAGCAGAGGCCCCTGTGGATGTGGTGGCAGCTGGTGCTGTCACCGGTGAGGCCTGTGGAGCCTTGCCTGATGGTTCCAAAGACCCCACTCTGGACGGAGTCTTTTGCACAGGCTCAGTATTCCTCTGCTTGGGCAAAGGATGGACCTGAGCCTCTGGTTCAGGAGCCTTCTGTCTAGCAGCAGAGGCCCCTGTGGATGTGGTGGCAGCTGGTGCTGTCACCGGTGAGGCCTGTGGAGCCTTGCCTGATGGTTCCAAAGACCCCACTCTGGACGGAGTCTTTTGCACAGGCTCAGTATTCCTCTGCTTGGGCAAAGGATGGACCTGAGCCTCTGGTTCAGGAGCCTTCTGTCTAGCAGCAGAGGCCCCTGTGGATGTGGTGGCAGCTGGTGCTGTCACCGGTGAGGCCTGTGGAGCCTTGCCTGATGGCTCCAAAGACCTTAGTTTGGGAGGGGGAGTCTCCTCAATAGACCCCTCACTCCTGGTCCGCTTCTGGTTAAACTCACCAGAGGCATTTTCGGCATTTTGACTGATGTTTTAAATTTGAGTATGTGTTATAAGAAGTATTGGATGGCAAAGGATGGCTGGAAGGAAGATGAACTAAAACAGAGGCAAAGGTTTTGCCCGGCCGTGCAAATAGCACACGGCCACGTCGTTTTGCCTCTTGGAAGCTAACTTTCTCCTTATTTCTTATCACCAATACTTCTTTTTCAAATCTGTATCTTTGACATTGCTTGGAAGAGGCTTCATGAGCTGCTTTGCAGTGGTAACAGCATATTGGGCCTGGGCAGTTGTCTTCTCCTTGATGGCCTGTTGTACCACACTTCACACATACTCTTGGTAGTCCAGTTTCTTTGAATCGGCAAGAATTGGTTCCATGCCCATAACTTGGCAGTGGAAGTATCGCATGGGGTTGGGCACATATGGCTTTACTTTTAGGTGGTACCATGCCAACTTAATCGATTCAGGAGAATCGGGCAGTGTAAGATGCTCCAGAGGAGATCTTTGCCATGGACTTTGCTAACTCATTTGCAACTTCTTTTTGGTCGGTGATGATTATACCATTTAACTGCAGAGCAGGTGTTGACATGGATATGCTCTTTCCAACGATCTTGCACACCTTGTCCCATACCCATGCTAAGGGGGTCCCAGAGTTAATTGAGGAGACGTATTGTCTCCACGACGTACGTCTAGCCTCCTTTAGCACGCGCCTGGCCTTGGCTCTAGTCTTTTTATAATGGATCAGGCTTACAATGCTCGGGCGTCGTTTCAATTGCCTCAGTGCAGCTTTCCTTGTTCTAACAGCTTGTTGGCATTCATCAGACCACCATGGCACTGGAGGTCGACGGTACTGCCCACTACTTTTGGGGATGGATGCTTCTGCTGCAAGGTGAATTCGTGATGTGAAGTGATTTACCGCATCCTGAGCACACTGGAAGTCATTCACAGATCCTTGCAATACTGCAGTTGATCTAAACAGATTCCAGTCTGCATGTTCAAGTCGCCATCTCTGCACTCCATTGGTTGGAATACCATTCACCTCTTCCAAAAGTATTGGAAAGTGATTGCTACCATGTAAGTCTTCCATAACCCTCCAAGTGAAATTTAACTGTGAATCAGGTGAACCAACTGACAGATCAATATTGGAGAATGTCCCAGTTTGAACTTGAAATGTGTGGGCGTTTCGCTATTTAGTAAAACTGCATCTACTCTTGAGAACAAGGATTCCAAGGCCCTTCCTCGAGTGTTACATAAAGTGTCTCCCCAGAGGTGATGCCGACCAAGAGGAGAAATGGATGAGGCAACTGTCCAAGCGGATCCTCCAATTCATCTATGGATGCAACTGTGTAAGGTCTTGTCAAGCCTATTCTCACAGCCTTTACCTGCAGTGTGGTCTGCAGGTGGATGGCCTGGACGGGAATATCCTGACGTACCATCACTGCCACTCCTCCATGAGGTCCACCATCAAATGTTCCATAATGGGCTTGAGTTTGGAAGCCTATCAGGGAAATTGGGCGATTTTCCCTGGTGAAAATTTCTTGTAGGCATACACAAACTGGATTATGTGTAGCTATCAGATGTAGCTCTTCCCATTTTGCATAAAGTCCCTGACAATTCCATTGGATTAGGGTTTCCAGTTTTCAGGTTGGTGGATTACCTCTCTGTAATGTTTTTGGCAGTACCTGTGGGTAAGGCCCGCCCCACATCTTTAGGTTGTCCCTTCCGAAAATCTTGGGTCTGCCTTTTGACGGGTTGTTTGACTGTGGAACTAGATTCCACAGGCTTCCTCTTGGCAGGTTCAGGATTTCTTTGCCTGGGCAAAGGATGTACCTGAGCCTTTGCTTCAGGAGCATTTTGTTTAGGAGCAGAGGCCCCTTTGGATGTTGTGGCAGCTGAGGCGGTCATCGTTGAGGCCTCTGGAGCCTTGCCTGATGGTTCCAAAGACCCCACTCTGGACGGAGTCTTTTGCACAGGCTCAGTATTCCTCTGCTTGGGCAAAGGATGGACCTGAGCCTCTGGTTCAGGAGCCTTCTGTCTAGCAGCAGAGGCCCCTGTGGATGTGGTGGCAGCTGGTGCTGTCACCGGTGAGGCCTGTGGAGCCTTGCCTGATGGCTCCAAAGACCTTAGTTTGGGAGGGGGAGTCTCCTCAATAGACCCCTCACTCCTGGTCCGCTTCTGGTTAAACTCACCAGAGGCATTTTCGGCATTTGACTCATGTTTTAGATTTGAGTATGTGTTATAAGAAGTATTGGATGGCAAAGGATGGCTGGAAGGAGGATGAACTAAAACAGAGGCAAAGGTTTTGCCCGGCTGTGCAAATAGCACACGGGCACGTCGTTTTGCCTCTTGGAAGCTAACTTTCTCCTTATTTCTTATCACCAATACTTCTTTTTCAAATCTGTATCTTTGACATTGCTTGGAAGAGGCTTCATGAGCTGCTTTGCAGTGGTAACAGCATATTGGACCTGGGCAGTTGTCTTCTCCTTGATGGCCTGTTGTACCACACTTCACACATACTATTGTTAGTCCATTTTCTTTGAATCGGCAAGAATTGGTTCCATGCCCATAACCTTGGCAGTGGAAGTATCGCATGGGGTTGGGCACATATGGCTTTACTTTTAGGTGGTACCATGCCAACTTAATCGATTCAGGAAGGACCAATGTTTCGAAAGTGAGGAGGAGAGCTGGTGTCGATTGTTCCAAACCATCAGCTTTCTTCTTAAAACGTTTAACTGCCACTACATTAAACTTTTTAAGTTCCTCAAGTAGTTTCTCCTCAGGATACCTCATCAAGTCACGGGAGAAGACAATTACCTTACATTGATATAGGGTTTTGTGAGGAGAACATGAGACTTGTGCCCCAGGAATATTGCATATGGCACGCAGACGGTCACTTTCATCTGGTGACGATACCTCCACAATCAGGCTTCCATCTCGTTGTGGGCTGATGTGAGGATCATGTTGACATACCTCAATTATCTTTCGATGCACCTCGAAAATATCGAGATCCATGATTGATACTCCATCAATGGTTTTAATCAATAAGTATTTATTATATGATATACTTTCATATTTGCCAGGTTAGATTTCCTTAATGGATTGAGGAGAACGTTTCTCCTTCTTTCCTGGTTTGGGAGTGCGGGAACCATTACAATTCCCATTTTTGCCCTGTGGAACCTGGAATGGTTCCAGAGTGACATGTGATGATCCAGAGGGATTGGCCAGGGGGTTGCGTAGGTCGTCAGGGAGAGAGCTAGTCCTTTGTAAATTTGTAATAACCATACAAATTTGATTCCTTCATTTCCTCACCCCCCCCACCCACCATGGAGTCCAACGAGGGGAAGCTATAGTTGGGGTTCAGAATCTCCCAACAGGACCGATGCGCTGCCGACCGAATAGTGCCTGCTTGACCCTAGCCGCATTTGACCAACCGATTGACTTGACCGGGCCATGATCAAGCCGCCCGTCTACCCAGAATAGAGGACCAAAGAGGTGTGTTGTTAGCTGCAGGGCGCAGCGTGCAGCATCACTCAACCTCCAGGACTCCTGTCTCCTAGCAATACGGGACGCCACGCACGGCAAACACACGTGGGAGAGTTCTCCCTGGGTCAAGATGGAAAGAACCAGAGGTGGGTACACCATCCCCTCTCATAGGCCTTGGTGCACCTGGAAGCCATTTTGTCTCATCCCTCACTAGTGACCCCTCCAGCATGGGTAGCCCTCTGGTCCAGCTCACCAGATCATTGGGACCTCAAGCCCCCCCACCGCGGCAAGGCGGCTCCCGTTAGGGAGGCTGCCTACGTGGAGAGTTACATTTGACTTGCCATTTCCTTTCCTCACTGTCTCATCTTTCAGCTCCTCCAATATGTGCGATTATGTATAACTCTTACTTATATCATCTGGTACTCGATAATATATATATAATAAATTAGATTTAAAAAAAGTTACGAATCCACCCGGCTATAAACACCAACCCAATGGACAAGCAAGCACAAACAAACCTCAAACACGCACACTTACGACGCAAGCACAAAACACACATCTACACAAAGCACAAGCACAGTTGATCGGTGCAGAACCAGACAACCCTATTGCATCACCATCCCACGCTGCATATAACAGCACAGCTGAGTAGTGGGTGCGGTGGTGGTGGTTGCAAGGAGGAGAAATTGCATCATAAATTGCTGGTTTATTGTATGCTTCTAGCGTCTAAATTTGGTTAACATGCTGTCTCCGGTGAAGAGGATTTGTTTAGCCTCACCTGTTGCTTTTGTAAATTTTGTAAATGACTGTCACTCTGGACATTGTTGTCATTCATAGTGTTATTGTCAATGTCATGAGAGATATCGGTCAGCATTTTATGTGAATGCGTGTATTAGTATATTAGAGGTAGTAAATGTCGATGTTCTGTAGAAAGTGTTCATGAAAGGTGATTTTAGATATTTCGAAAAAAATAATGAAATGTTTAGAACCTATCGGTAAAGCTACGCATCTCTCCTTTGCCCCCCTCCCTCTCTCTCTGTCTCTGCCTTCTCATCTCTCACACCCTTCCTCTCTTTACTCTTTTCTTATTTTCTCTTCTCTCCGTAAATACTGCTTCACTCCAATCATATATTCCAACAAACATAACGATGACGAAAACACGTTTATCAATAGTACATCATATGCACTGTTGCAAAAGGAGGGCTCTGCAATGCTTTATACGCAGTCGCACACATCTGCATGTGTGCGGACGCCACATGACGCTAACACAGAAGTGCTCAGAAAGTGCTTGTAATCATTTTATAAGTATTCTTAGAATACTTGTAATGCAAATCATCTTGCTTTATACATTGATCTGTATATATACAATTATTTTTTTACATATTGCTTTTTCATTATATTTCATTACAGAGATTTATTTATTACACAAATGAATCTCTTTAAAGGAATCATTTAAAGCCTTCATTTCCATCCCTTTATTATCTAGTGTCAATTAAAGTAACACACAAGAGGAAAAGAAGGAAAAAGAGGAGAGGAGAAAGAGAGATAGTGAAGTAGGGACAAAATGCAACAAAACAATAAAGAAATATTAAAGCATATGATATAATATAATACAATCTAATATAATATATACAATCATATATATCATATAATATTAATATCATATGATATATATGTTATGATATACTAATACTATATTATGTAATCATATATAATATCCTATAATAATGATTTATAATTATATGATATACTATATCATATAATAAACGCAATAAAAACCAAAACCAAAACAAAAGGCCGGTAAAACGTCGAACACAATAAAACTGACTTCGGCTTCGGAAAGCAGGGTTTGTGTAGGTGGGGCTTGATGACGTCACCAAGAGGTTAGTCGGAAGTCGGACGTCCCTTGTCTTTTATCTTTCCCTGAAGGGGCTAGCCGTTGCAAGAACCAGAGCCCTTTGTTGCATGTCTCCCTCTATTTATCACATTTGCCTTTTTTCCGGTAACATCGGCCGAGGAAGATGCAAGTCGTCTACTCCCGCACGCGCCGCGCCCTTCGCCGACTTGCCGCAGTTTCTTTATCATCTGGGCCGGGTTATAGGGTCGAGTGTTAAGCATGGAAGAGATAGGAGAAGAAAAGGATAAATAGACAGAGGTTTCATTTTTGAAACCATATAGTGCGTGACATAATGAAAAGTGATATCTCACGCAAAGGGTGTGTGGAGGCAGGTGGATAAGGCAAATGCGGGAAAATCGAGAATTAGAAATTGGGTATTATATATCCGTAAGCAAGGTCATTTATGTTATTTTACATTATCTGTCTGTTCTTCAACAGGATGTATTTACCAGAGGGCGTGTTCCTGATCTAAGAAATTCCTGTAATCAGCGGAGGTCCCAGTGCGGACTTTCTTCTCTGCCACTTGCTTGCAGGCGAGTGATGGACAATTGCAGGAGAAGAATCCCATTAAAGTCGTTGAGATGGGATAAAACCAGCGACTTTTCGGTCTATGATGTAACTGACCTGTTAGTCGTATAAGTGCTGCAAATCCTTTAATGTATCTTCGCGGTGTTGCAGATCCTCCCCTCACCAGCGTAGAGGAGGAAAGCAGTCATGTTTCACTCAGAGAGAGGCGGTGCGGTATCACTGCGCTCAGTACAAACACGACATTATTATGTCATTGTGGGAGACCTGCCAATCACAACTAACATAGCAACAAGAGGCTCATGAAACGCAATTCAAAACCAATAACTTGAGATCCGAAAAATTATTGGTACTGTCGCTAATTTTGTAAATCTTACAGATTTAGAGAGTTTGAAATGGCACATCTACTGTGTACCAGGTGACAAGAATGATTCAGCAAGTATAAACATGACACTGGTTACCCATTTACATTTACGCAGAAAATGTATGCGCATTTCCTTTCTTTTACAGCTGTAGGAATGGCCTGTTTGTGTATCACTTGTTAGAGTGAATAATCATCTTCGTGATCGAGAATTTTTTGGCTTTTCCCGGTGAAATCTTTTTGGTTAACGTATAATAATTATGCTGCATGAGAATAGTTACTCACAGGACTGATATGGGCTCTGAAACACGCCCTTGTATGATTTGCGTGTGTTATGCTGTGGGCGTGCAACATCCTTCACAGGAGGCGAGAGGGGGGGTTAGTGAGATGAGGCTTATCTCAAATATAATTCCTTTTGAACAGATCCAGCTAACAGGTTTGGATTACTGGACACCATCAATAAAAAATGCAAATATATATATATACACACGCGCGCGCGCGCGCATGAGCGCATGAATATATTCATGCAAACACACACACACAAATATATATATATACATTTGTATACATATATACGTATGTATATAATATATATATACATATGTATATACATATATACATATTTGCATGCGTGTGTTTGGGTGTGTGTATATGTATATATATGTATATACACATACATATATTTATACGTATATACGTAAGAAAAACAGAGATACAGACAAAATGTGTTTGACGTAAATGATGATGAAAAAATCAAAAACGAAAAAAAATGAAAAATGAAACAAATATGAAAACAGAAAAAACAAATTAAAATAAAAGAAAGAATAAGATTTAAAAAAAATAAAGACGGCGAGATCGAGATAGAAAGAGATCGAGAGACACAGCTTAAAAGAACTATTGTTTCCATCGTACAAAAAAAGGATCACACAACTCGCTTCCTGCTCAACCTCTAAGAAAGAAACAGCAAAGACGCTCTATATACTTTTTTGTTTTATTATTGGATATTCGTGTTTCTGCGGGAATGGTTGTTTACTGTACCACGAATATTTTGTTGTTGCTGTTGCTGTTTTTGTTTTGGGACGCTTACTTATCAGATAAATTCGTTCGTCAACTTTCGACGCTCCAGAATCTTGCATTTATGACTTTCCTATGAATTTCAAACACAAGATACCCTTTCGGTATGTTTTGAGGCATGGATGTGCATTTTGTTCACTTTCATTCATAAAGCTGATTTTCGTAGGTAAGGAATTTATCACGTGACTGACATTTATGCATATGAGACCCACCTGCAAGTTAAGTGAGACCGATATCCTCCAGTCTCATAAAACCTCTATTTTATATAATGATACTCGAGGAAAGAGAAGAAAGAGAAAAGAGAAGAGAAATATCAAATATTAGAGTCTCTCTTTCCTTTTTGTTACTGCATCTCTATAGCTTTTTAAGAGGTTGAATGGCAACGGGATTTTTGGAATGGAAACATAATCGAAATTTCGCATATGCAGCAAATGTGCAGAAAATTGCACAGTAACACCTTAGCTAAACATTATTGAATACGGCCTACAGAAATTATGTCAAATTTCACTTTTCATGTAACGAATTCGCACTGAAAAACAAAGCAAAAGACAAAAAAATAACCACGTCACCAACACATTGCAGAGAACTCACCCATTGCACAGCGAGATGCAGAGCAAAGCGAAGGCGACGCAACTGAACATCGCCGGGGATCTGTTGGGCGTCTGCATTGCA